TCAGAAAGTTTAATTGAAGATTCGATGGGCTGTCGCATGTGATGTGTTTGTTTGTTGTGGGGAAAAAAATCCTCTGCTGATTTAAATTTAACGATGTGGTTGTTAGACAAAGAGGCACTGTTGGATGCAAAAGTCACATGATGGTTTTGACATTGACGCTTGTTCCACATTTGTGTTACAGTTCAATCTCTCAGCTGGGGAAAATGCGCCTTCTTGACGTGGGAAGCTGCTTCAACCCTTTCTTGAAGTTTGACGAGTTCCTCACAGTTGGTATTGACATAGTGCCTGCAGTTGAGGTAAGCTTGTTTATTCTGCTCATTTTGTTGACAAAATGTTGACACAAATAAAATGCATGAGGTTTTCCTGTCTGGTGATTCAGTGTTGGCATTACAGAGCAAAAGCAGCACCAGAAATGACTCATGCACAGGTTATCCGTGTTGTGGTTTGACGGCGTGTGAACAAATTCTGCAGAAAGCAGAACAAAAAGTGTCTTGCATTTTGCAGCTGCAAGTATAGGACGTTTAAAAGTGCTGAATTTTCTGCCTGTTTTCTCTCCTTCAGAGCGTGTACAAGTGTGACTTCCTCAACCTTCAGCTCCAGCAGCCTCTCCAGCTGGCGAGCGATGCGGTTGAGGCGTTCCTCCGCCAGCTCCACAACCCCATCGACTCGCTGCCTGCCCAGCTTTTCCACGTGGTGGTCTTCTCCCTGCTCCTGTCCTACTTCCCCTCACCATACCAGCGCTGGATCTGCTGTAAGAAGGCCCACGAGCTGCTGGAGCTTCACGGCCTGCTGCTCATCATCACGCCCGACTCCTCCCACCAAAACCGCCACGCCCTTATGATGCGCAGCTGGCGCGTTGCAGTGGAGTCACTGGGCTTCAAGCGCTACAAATACGTCAAGTATTCCCACATGCATCTCATCGCCTTCCGCAAGGTGTGTCTGGCCACCACCAGCGACCTGGTGTCACGCAACTACCCAGAGATGCTCTACATCCCTCAGGACTTCCACTCCAACGAGGAGGAAGAGTGTGCCGACGTGCCCGTACAGGTGCGCTCCGAATTTGAGGATGACCAGATGGCATGGGGCTTCTCGGAGCTGCCTGACACGCCCTATGATTCAGATTCCGGGGAGAGCCAGGGCAGCTCGGTGCCTGGTTTCCACGAGCTAGAAGACCCCATACTGCTTCAGAGCTAGGTTAACCAGCTACCCCCCTCCCCCCCCTCCTCCTCCTCCTCTCCTTTCCTCCACTGTCACCTCCCCTTCAACTGCTGCGCTGCCAAATTTAACCTGCTGCATTCTTCTCCCACGTCTCCTCCCTCTCCTGAAAACAATGCAGTTTGCACAGTGTGAAAGACAGAAGTTTACAGATTATTTTCTCATATCCACACTCCTCTGAGAGTACACACACAGACACACACACATATCCACATAAACACACACACTAAGATGGATATATTTTGATAAATATCTAGGTTTTTTAAGAGTTGGAAAGTGAATGCCCTGACAATATCTTAACTCCCCGCTCCTTGATTTCCATATCATCTTCCAATCAGCTTTCAATAACAAAAACAGCTTGTCTGTACTCTGTCTCTATATGAATAAGCTAGTGTGGCAGGCTGCTTAGTATAAAAGACAAACAACCTGAGCAGTCTGACAGGAGTTTGATTGCACTGGAGAGACTGAGATGGAGTGACTGGACTGGTACGCTTGCTTCTGTCACAGTCATGCAGCTAGACTTTCTGAAAATCCTTGATGTGCATTTAGTTTTCCAAGACAAAAAAAAAAACGAAGTTCATCGTTTTGAAATATATATATTCTCAACAGTCAAAACATTGGTGTCGTCCAGTGTAAAGTGTGGCAGTGCCATTTTAACTTGGCATCATCTGAATGATTTGTGTATCTTTTACAAGAAAGTGGTATTTGTAGCATTTTAAACATTTTCAGAACCATACGGTAGGAGTATTACTAGGTTTACTAATGTGAAACTGTAACTGTGTTTACTCATTGTGTAACAAGGTACGAGTGTTTCAAAGTAGGTATTAGACTTTTTTTCCTCCTCTCGTTGTCCTCACAAATATTAAGACTGAATTATCTCCAGTACATTTTGTGCTCTCTCGGAGAAATAGTACAACACAGCAAGTCAGTGACCCATATCAAATGGACTTTAAAGCACCAGTATCCTTTGACACAATTTTGTAACTTTGTGAAACTAAGTACTCTGCCTCCAAAAAAGATCCAGATCTGAGCTCCTTACAGAAAATTCACCTTGACACAAGAGATTTGCACTAATTTACTGTTTTGTCATACAGAACCTCTGAAACAGGTGAGAAACTGTAGATTTTAGCAATAGCAAACCAGAGCAGATCTGAAGATGCTGTATCCGACGGGGGGAGGTTTTAGCTAAAGACACTACCAGATGAAATGTTAGTGTGTGTTCTGCCTGTCCCTGAATGGGCTCATTGTGTGGGTGTGGTTGGGTTTGATTGTGTGAATGAAGGAATGAGTTTACGTTGATGTGTTATTGTCAGTGGCACTTTATCATTGATCCCAAAGGGTGTCACAAGATGTAATTATTTTCCTATGATGACAGTTTTACAACCAATATGACGGGCCCATAAGATAATACCAATAAGTCTAAGGTGCCTTCTTTGTTCACATTTACTGTATGTTGCAAGCAGACTTTCATGCCCCTGGAGAAAATGAAACTCATACCTTTCAACTAAAAAGATATGAAGCTTCTGAGGCCAAACAGTATGTACAAACTGTCCAGTTCTCCTTTGACATATTAATGGATAACAAGAGACATTTCCAGTGTTGATGTAATGCAGTGTGTTGTTGCCATACCCATATCATTTTCCAGTTAATGCACATCTCTATGCTGATATCTTCTCTGTTTTAACAGGAAAACAACATTTCACAGTACCGCACATACTCAGACTTTAAGGTTTTGTGATTAATTGGTGCATTTGTCTTCCAGTGTTTCTTTTTGGTCCATTTGCATGAGTTGTTTCATCTTCATTTTCAACATTTTCAACAATGCAGAACAATGTGTGCTTATAGTATGGTTGTATTTCTCTTTTATAAATGAATGTAAATGTAACGCGTCTGTGTGGAGTTTTTTGGTGTGCAGTGCACCCTTTCTTGTAGATTCAAAATACTGCTCTGTGTGCTGGTTATGAAGTTATGAAGGGGCATTTTTGACTCAGGAGATCAGAGGTGTGGACTTGAGTCACAGATTTTATTATTTTACAATCAACTTTACAAAATTAAATAAGACTTGCAACATGACTTTGATGTTAACACCAATGACTTGTGACTTTACTTGGACTTGAGCCTTCTGACTTGAAAATACTTGATTAAAAAGTATGTTATTTAAAAGTGTGCCACAAACTAATGAATTAACTAACCTTGTTCATTCTGAGCAAATCAACGCTTAACTCCCATAATCCTACAGCCATCCAATCAAGTTGCAAGAGACAACCATGAGGTACTAATGTTGGAAAAAATGATACCAAAGGTAATTTTGTTTGCGTACGCAAACTTCCTGGTGGTCAGCAACAGAGGAACTGGATTATTCAAAATGTGCGGGTTAAAAATTACAGATACAGAGATGCAACAACTTCTGAAAAACACATTTTAATGATTAAATACAAATTTTATAAAGAGTTTGTAATTTTTGTAAATTTAATACACTATTACTCTGACATTAAAATGACATTACATTTGGTGAAGAACGCAGTTTAGGACGTGGGACCTGACTTAGGACTCATCAGTATTGATTTGGGACTTAACTCAGGACTTGCCTGTATGGACTTGGAACTTGAGAGCAAAGACTTGAGACTTACTTGTGACCTGCAAAATAATGGTAACCCCTCTGCAGAAGATCATGCAGGTTTTTGATCGACATTTCTTTTGATACACAAACAATATTTGTCAACATTGTATTTTATTTGATAGGAATGATGCAATTTAACATAGTTCCAATACAGAGTATGAGACTGATGTGTTGCACAGAGAGTTTATAGCTGTTGCTAATTTTCAACTCTTGTCCCTAGTTGGACTTTTCCATGTAGGCCTACAAGGTTTTTAAAAAATATCATCAAATCATGCTACACTATAACCATGGAAGGATTGCACAATAAAATCCATAAATCACAGTACATACATCATAAGATATACCACAATACATCTACCAAAACAGACACTGCGACACACATACCACAAGAAATATACTAAAATACACATACCACTACACACTTATACACTAATACCCCATAGAAATTTTAGCGCAATAGCAAATAGTTGGTACAGCACCGGTTTGGTTTAAGCCAGCACTTGACCTTTATTGTGAAGGATTTTAAATCTGGAATTAGTCAGTAGCAGTTAAAACAGGAATAAATCAGGGACCTGAATCAAGAGGCAGGATAGCTTCTTTAAATGTAGTAATACTGTACATTAGACATTGTATTATAACTAGCCTTTAAGGCCACTCTGACAAAAAAGCCATGTCTTACACACACACACACACACACACACACACACACTATAATTTCACTCAAAAGTCCACACTACCTACCTTACTACCTCAGGGCCATAAAAAATAACTTTAATGTGAAAGGAAGGAATTCAGATATTTAAAGACAATTTTACAATCTTTTTTTTCTCAGGAAGGTAGGATTAAACTGGGGGGATTTGAACTCATGACCTCAGTATTAAAAGTATAAAAATCCTGGCTTTTGCACAGAATGAGAGTTAAAATCTGGAACACAGTTGTTCAGTTAAAATATAAACATAGGCCTAGTAAAGTAGGACGTAAATAAGCTCATAATATTGAGTATAATATTAAGAATAATAATTTATTATTACTTACTTGATCTTTCATTATTATTTAATCATATTTAATATCGAGTCAAAACCACAGACTGCATAAAAATTCAGAACTGAATGAGCGTTTGACGTTGGCAAGTGATTTTTTACCCTCAGCACTTGCCGTAGTGGAAGCCAGCGTCATGGCGCCTGTCAACTGACAAACTTTTGACGTTACAAACTTTTAATACGGATATGTCTTTCACAATACTGACAGCTTGTTTGAAGGTGCTCCGTCCTGAAACTTTTAAACCAGTGTCGGACATCAGATGAGAGGAACATAAACAGCCGTCGTCACGATGTGAATGTTTCTGCGTGCTAACTTTGGCCGGTGCGAAGATGCATCGCTGGTAGCTAACGGTAGTCAAGCTAGCCACTTTCAACAAGTTAGCTAGCTAGTTAGCTCAACTTAGTTTAAGCGTCGTTTGGTTTCAGATGTCATTACGGACAATAAACCGACTGTAACTCGTTAAAGTGCCTGTTTCTAGGTTTGGTTAGTTAGTCTTTTATATCACAATGTGTCGTTTTCTGCGCTACTGTGTCAGCCACTGCCTCCATGCAGCGATGACCCGGCTGGAGGAGGTCAACGGAGAGGTTAGCATGTGGTCGTCTGTCCGGTGGCTGGGCTACCTGTCAGGTCTCAACCTGCTGATCGCCCTGTGTCTGGGGCTCTATGCGCGGTGGGAGAGGACCGCAGAGACTGGTCTTCTTGTCATTTTCGTTTTGGCTCTAATCGTCCTCGGAATAGCAAGTGTAGTGTATTATTACTTCAACATGGAGAGGGTCAGCCTCAGTCTCCTCCACCTGTGGTTCGGGTTTTTGCTGGGAATGCAGTGTTTCCTCAACAGTCCCGCCCTGGAGAGCGATGTGAAGGAGCAGGCGGCCAACTACCTGCTGCTGGTCAGCGTGACACTGAGGACACTGTGGGCGCTGCTGGAGAGACTGGTTGGATGTGCCAAGTACCGTCCTGCCTTCCTCACCTCGGCAGAGCGGCTGGAGCTGGTGGGCTTTGCCACTGCCAGCACGGCTCTGCTCATCCAGAAGTCTTTGAGTGTGATGGTGCTGGTGGTGGCGCTGGCCACGGTGATGATTGCCCTCCGGATGAAGGCTCTCCTGGCTCTCGCCAACTTGGTCTGCTTCGCTGTCATCACCGCTGTGCTGTTCTTCAAGTCTCTGAACGTCACCATCAACCCTTTCGCCCTCGCCTGCTTCTTCAGCCAGCTCATCTGCGACCCACTGCTGGATGTCTACTTCAGTGGCCTCTCCGTGACCGAGCGCTGGCAGCCTTTCCTGGTGTGGCGGGGCCTGTGGCGCCGGCTGTCCCTCCTGCCTCTGCTGGTGGTGGAGGTGACCTTCATCATTCTGGCTGCTCAGAAGCTGAAAGACCTGGACCAGTGGTACCTGATGATCCCGAGCTTTGTGGTCTGTGCGCTCTTCTGGGCCATCTGCCACATGGTGTTTGTTATCACAGTGTGGGGCTTTCACACCAAACTCAGTGAATGCCAGAGGGTGTGCTTGTCTCAGGGGTCAGGGGTCAGCGGTCTGGACAAGGTTATGGCTTCAAAGGGCATGAGACATTTCTGCCTCATCTCTGAGCGCCTGGTGCTCTTCTCGCTGGTGTCAACTGTTGCTGTTGCTGCTTTTTGTTGGCAGGTAAGAGCAGCCAGACAACAAATACCTTATTTATAGAGAGATGGCACACACTGTCAACTGAAGTGTATGGTGTGTTTTCAGTCCTCTTTGACCAGCAGTTCCCAACCTTTGTGGCTTGCGATTCCTTGGGACCCCCCACCATCATCACTGGTTGCATGTGTCAGTGGTGTCCCATGAATTCACAAGAAAAAATTAAGATTTGAGAAATGTCAGGAAAGAAAATATAATTGTTTATAGCAGAATAATATGTTTCTTGCTTTTCTCTCCTGTTAGTCATGTTGTAACCCTTCAGATTTATCTTGTGAACCCTTGTGGCGGACCCAAAACCAAGGTTGGGAACCTCTGGCTTGGACTGTAGGACAGCCTGAGAATGTGCCTTACATTTACATTTCATGCTTTTACAAGACACATTGAATTGCTTAATTTCTTTAATGTTTTGATTCGAACAGTACCATACTGATTACTTCTACATCACATTTAATCAGGATTTACTATAACACAGAAAGAACTTGTATTTTTAGGAGCATGTTCTAATTCTTAGCTACAATAGTTTCTCATATTTTGATAGAATTCATTCTGATGCAGATTAATGTTATAGTATCTTCCACAGCATTTTCCTTCATATGTCATACTTTTGTCTGCAGTGAAAACCAATTTTTAATTGACTAATGACTGTGCTCTGCAGGCCTCCAGTAGTATCTTTGTTAGCATGTTTCTGCTCGTCCTGCCTCTGGAGTCTCTGTTCCACGGGCTTTTCCACGAGCTCGGGAACAGTCTGGGAGGAACCTGTGTGGGCTACGCTGTTGTCATCCCCACCAACTACTGCAGGTAGTGCCATGCATTACTACTGAGAGTGGTAAACAATTACCAGTCAGATATAAGTACTGCACAATAATAAAGAAAATCCCATGATATGATTAAAGTTGAGAGGTAAATGTCAAAGTTTTCCCAGTTTTACATCAGTATGTTGTGTCATGCATCTCGCCACACAACAGTAAGAGATCTGTGCTACTTCCTGAGTGTGATTGAGTTTTAAAAGGGCCAAATAAAATCTGTTATTAAAATTTTGTTAACAGGCAAGTGCTACATTCCTGCAATAAGTCATTGTCAAGTCATTGTGTGTTCATTCAGTTGTCCATGACTCATAAGACATATCCTGACCTGTGCTAAATGACAGCTCTAAATAGACATGATTCATTCACTTTCCTCCTCTGTTTTACTTTTGTCTGCCTCATAGTCCTGACGGTCAGCCTGTGCTGCTGCCTCCAGACCAGGTGCAGGAGCTAAACAAGCGCTCCACAGGCATGTTGAACAGTGTGCAGCGCTTCTTCGCCCACCACCTGATTGAGAATTTTGGCTGCGACTATTCCACTAGTGGGCTGGCCCTGGATGCTCTGCAGGTCAAGATCAAATCCTTCTTGGAGCTCCGCACGGCAGATGGGCCTCGCCATGACACCTACATCATCTTCTACAGTGGTCACAGTCACCGCTCTGGAGAGTGGGCGCTGGCAGGTGAGAGAGGCATCTAGTTGAAGTAATTATGATTAGTAAGTGTTGTTTGATTGACCATTTTAGTTCTGCTGCACAATTAATTGTATAATTGTTCTATATTAATAATGATTTTTGGCTTTCAAAGTTAATTACGTAGGATTAGCTGTAATATTGCTGCTTTGCACTGGTTTGAAATGTTATGGCATGCTATACTATGAATTTTTTTTTTACTTTATTTATGAAATTTCACAATAGATGAATATTTATGACATCTTAATGGCATACTGTACAATGTTTTTTTAAAAAATCTCTGACATACTATATGATTTTTTTCAAAGACACACTTCTATAATTTTTAAATAACCTACACAATAATTTTTATGGCATACTACACATTGTCATTTTTATGGAATACTACGTAATATTTTTTTATATAATGCTTTGCTATGCTTTTTTTAATGACATAATTTACTATGATTCTTTTTATCATATGCTATGATTTTTTGTGACATACTTTAATATGATTTTTATGACATGATAGACTGAATTTTTTGAATCACACTATACTATATTTTTTATGACTTACTTATGACACACTTAACTATAATGTTTTTTTAAGACAAACTATTCTATGATCATTTTATGGTGTGCTACACTATAATTTTGTAATTTATTATTATATCATGCTATACTATGACATTTTTTATGTCATATTTTCCTGGTATTTTTTTTTATATCATACTATTCCCTGAGTTCTAATACTATACTATGATTTTGTGTATTATGCTGTACTATGATTTTTTTTTAATTCAATTCAATTTCATTTATAAAGCCCAATATCACAAATCACAATTTGCCTCACAGGGCTTTACAGCATATGACATCCCTCTGTCCTTACGACCCTCGCAGCGGATAAGGAAAAACTCCCCAAAAAACCCCTTTAATGGGGAAAAAAAAAACGGTAGAAACCTCAGGAAGAGCAACTGAGGAGGGATCCCTCTTCCAGGATGGACAGACGTGCAATAGATGTCGTACAGAACAGATCAGCATAATAAATTAACAGTAATCAATATGACACAATGAGACAGAAACAGAGACAGAGATGCAGGACAGACGGTAATGACAGTAGCTTACAACAACATTACTGAAAGTAATAATTTTATAATTATGATTCTGGCTATTGTGGTACAAGATGTTGAAAGTAAATATTTATATCTGATAGTATATGTATGTGACAATAATCATATGTGTATAATAACAGTAGAAGTATGACTAATGATAACAGCAGCAGCAGGAGGCATCTGGCAGGACCACGGCAGCAGCACAACCACACACGTCACACTATCCAGGCACCGCTGTGATATAAGTTAACCTGCAAGATAGTGGAGCACAAAGGGTCCGGAGAAGAAGCCGAATTAGTGACATGCAGTATAGCCGAGTTAGCAAGATGCAGTAACAGGACATGAGAGAGAGAAGGAGAGAAGGTGCCCGGTGTATTATAGGAGGTCCCTGGCATGCTATTTTATATCATACTATACAATGTTTTTTTGACATTATAATGTACTATGATCTTTTTAAGATCATACTATACTTTTATTTTTTTTTAAATCATACTATATTATGAGTTTTTTAACATACTATACTATACTATGACTTTTTTTTAATCATACTATACTATGACTTCTTTTATCATACTATACTATGACTTTTTATCATACTATACTATGACTTCTTTTATCACACTATACTTTGACTTTTTTATCATACTATATTATGACATTTTTTTGATCATACTATACTATTACTTTTTTATCATACTATACTATGACTTCTTTTATCATACTATACTATGATTTTTTTAATCATACTATACTATCACTTTTTTATCACACTATACTATGACTTTTTTATCACACTATACTATGACTTTTTATCATACTATACTATGATTTTTTAATCATACTGTACTATGACTTTTTTATCACACTATACTATGACTTTTTTTTATCACACTATACTATGACTTTTTAATCATACTATACTATGATTTTTTAATGTACTATACTATGACTTTTTTTTTTAATCATACTATGACTTTTTTAACATAATATACTATGACTTTATCATACTATACTATGACTTTTTATCATACTATACTATGATATTTTTTAACATACTATACTAAGATTTTTTTCATACTATATTATGACATTTTTTTGATCATACTATACTATGACTTCTTTTATCATACTAAACTGATTTGTTTTATCATACTATACTATGACTTTTTTTTATCATACTATACTATGACTTTTATCATACTATACTATGACTTTTTTGTATCATACTATACTATGACTTCTTTTATCATACTAAACTGATTTGTTTTATCATACTATACTATGACTTTTTTTTTTATCATACTATACTCTGACTTTTATCATACTATACTATGACTTCTTTTTATCATACTATACTGACTTTTATCATACTATTCTATGACTTTTTTGTATCATACTATACTATGACTTCTTTTATCATACTATACTGTGACTTTTTTATCATACTATACTATGAATTTTTATCATACTATACTATGATTTATTTAACATACTATGACTTTTTTATCACACTATACTATGATCTTTTTATCATACTATACTATGACTTCTTTTTATCATACTATACTGACTTTTATCATACTATTCTATGACTTTTTTGTATCATACTATACTATGACTTCTTTTATCATACTATACTGTGACTTTTTTATCATACTATACTATGAATTTTTATCATACTATACTATGATTTATTTAACATACTATGACTTTTTTATCACACTATACTATGATCTTTTTATCATACTATACTATGACTTCTATTATCATACTATACTATGATTTTTTTTATCATACTATACTATGACATTTTTTTGATCATACTATACTATGACTTTTTTATTACACTATACTATGACTTTTTTTTATCACACTATACTATGACCTTTTTATCATACTATACTATGACTTCTTTTATCATACAGTGGTGGAAAAAAGTTTTCGGACACCCTTAAAATTTTACACAATCTCAAATATTATCATGAAATATTTGTGGAAAATCTTTCTTGTGTTTCAAAAGGTGTGGTTGCATTAGACAGATACAAACAAATACAAATTATATTTTTTTGTTTATTGTTTACAAGAAAAACTAACAAAACTAAATTCTTGACAGTTTCAATATGTCAGTTCTCAACATTGCCGGTATCAGAGTCAACAAATAACAGAGAATGTGTTCAAAACTGAACAAAAAATAAATAAACCATCACATCATCAAATTAATATTTAGTAGTCCTGCCATTGGCACGTAGTAGAGCTCTAATCCTGGCTGGCATGTTCCCCACGAGCCTTTCACACTGTTGAGGGGTAATCTTGTCCCATTCTTCTTGAATTACTGCTTTTAATTCTTCTAAATTCTTTGGTTTATGCTTTGAAACAGACCTTTTGATAATCCACCACAGATTTTCAATGGGGCTCATGTCCGGGGATTGAGCTGGCCACTCTAAGACCTGGATACTGTGCTCCTGCAGCCAAGTTCTACTGGCCTTGGATGTGTGGCAAGGGGCATTATCTTGTTGAAACATCCAGTTTTTACCTCGACGGAACAGTGCACGCGCAGAAGGGAGCATGTGGGTTTCGAGAATGGTACAATACTTGGTAGAGTTCAATGTGCCATCACAGACAGTGAGATGACCAACACCAGCAGCACTCATGCATCCCCAAACCATGATACTGCCTCCACCATGCTTGACAGTAGGTACTGTACATGCTGGAGATAATGCTTCGCCTGGCCTTCTGCGTACCCTCACATTAGTAGGAGGAAGATAAAGCTGGAAACTGGACTCATCTGACCACAAAATCTTCTTCCAATTCCTGGCTGTCCAGTTCTTGTGTGCCTGGGCCCAACGACGCCGGGCTAACCTCTGTCTCTCATTGATCAGGGGCTTCTTGATAGCCTTGTAGGACCTTAAGCCATGATCTAAAAGTTTTTTTTAAAAAAAAAATCATACTATGCTATGATTTTTTTTTTATTTATCATACTTGTTATGTCCCCAGTCTAGGGAAACCTAGACATAACCTGATGTGTGACTCCCCATTCTTCCCACTCCCAAGAAAGGCCAGTAACACAGTTTTTAAACAACAAAGAAGTAGTTCATTTGATCTTTGGATGTGATCAGTGCCCAAAACAACAAACAAAAATATACTAATTGTCCATTAACTTACCTGAAACAAAAGACAAATTGATTACCTTAACTTCTATCATTTAAAAAAATAGGGGAAAAGAACATGGCAATCCCAAACAAAAACAGGCATCTCTCTCCTACTCAACTGCTCTAAGTGCTCTATTTACAGTGCTCTACAACAAAAGATACAAGAAAAACCTACTAATTATCCTAAACATAAAGCTGCTAAACAAAACTCTACTCACCTACTCAACAACAGTTGAATATCTCTACTACCTAACAGAATTATCAAGAAATACACACACACTAATTTGCTAGGCTGAGGAGTCTTGCGTGCAGGTACTCACACACACATCACAAACACAATCTAAGTATACTATATAGCATTGTTGGTGGTGGAAAGGTGAAAGGAGGGAATAGCTTCTCTCAGCTTAAGGTTTAAAAGCGCTCTGACTCCAAGTGGGCCAATCCGGTGTCAACAATCTTCTTGTAGCCAGCCCAATCAGCATTCACGACCTGCCTCGCGAGAACCAATCAAACTTCAACACATGCACACATTCTGACAGGAGGAAAGAGAACATCTTAAAGGTCACACAGATCAACACAAGGAAAATACTAAAAAAAAATGACCTAGGTCATAACATACTATACTATGGTTTTTTTATCATACTATACCTTGACTTTTTTTAATCATACTATACTATGATTTATTTTTAACATACTATACTATGATTTTTTTTATCGTACTATACAATTTTTTTTAACATACTATACTAATTTTTTTTATCGTACTATACTATGACTTTGTATCATACTATACTGTGACTTTTTATCATACTATACCTTGACTTTTTTTTTTTTAAATCATACTGTACTAGGATTTATTTTTAACATGCTATACTATGATTTTTTTTACCATACTATACTATGATTTTTTTTTACCATACTATACTATTTTTTTTATCATACTATACCATGACTTTTTTTTAACATACTATACTTTGACTTTTTTTTTAACATATTATATTATGATTTTTTTTTATCATACTATACTCTGATTTATTTTTAACATACTATACTATGACTTTTTTTTTTTACCATAATGACCTAGGTCATAACATACTATACTATGAGGTTTTTTTTTATGACATATTATGCTATGATTTTTTTTTTATCATACTATACCTTGACATACTATACTATGAGTTTTTAATATACTATACTATGACTTTTTTTTAACGTACTATACTATGACATTTTTTTATCATACTGCTATGACTTTTTTATCATACTATACTATGACTGTTTTATCATACTAAACTATGACTTCTTCTATCATACTATGCTATGATTTTTTTTATCATACTATACTATGATGTCTTTTATTATACTATACTATGACTTTTTTATCATACTATACTATGACGTCTTTTATCATACTATACTATGACTGTTTTTTTATCATACTATACTTATTAAATTATAATTTTGACGTCATACTATGACATTTTTCATGAAATTTTAATGTCATACTATACTATGGATATTTTTCATGACATTTTGACGTCATACTATACTATGGCAATTTTCATGAAATTTTCACGTCATACTATACTATGGCAATTTTCATGAAATTTTCACGTCATACTATACTATGGCAATTTTCATGAAATTTTCACGTCATACTATACTATGGCAATTTTCATGAAATTTTCATGTCATACTATACTATGGCAATTTTCATGAAATTTTCATGTCATACTATACTATGGCAATTTTCATGACATTTTCATGTCATACTATTCTATGGATATTTTTCATGACATTTTCACGTCATACTATACTATGGCAATTTTCATGAAATTTTCACGTCATACTATACTGTGATATTTTTTATGACATTTTCATGTCATACTATACTATGACATTTTTCATGAAATTTTAACGTCATACTATACTATGGCAATTTTCATGACATTTTGATGTCATACTATACTATGGCAATTTTCATGACATTTTAACGTCATACTATTCTATGGCAATTTTCTTGACATTTTGACGTCATACTGTACTATGGCAATTTTCATGAAATTTTCACGTCATACTATACTATGACATTTTTCATCAAATTTTAACGTCATACGATAATATGACCTTTTTTTTTAATCATACTATACTATGGCTTTTTTTTTTATCATACTATAGTATGATTTTTTTTTTATCATACTATACTATGACTTTTTTTTACCATACTATATTATGACTTTTTTTAATCATACTATACTATGACTTTTTTTATTATACTATAGTATGACTTTTTTTAATCATACTATACTATGACTTTTTTTATTATACTATAGTGACTTTTTTTTAATCATACTATACTATGACTTTTTTTATTATACTATAGTTATGCCTTTTTTTTAATCATACTATACTATGACTTTATCATACTATACTATGACTTTTTTTAATCATACTATACTATGATATTTTTTTTATACTATACTGAGTTTTTTTAATACACTATATTATGACTTTTTTTTTTAACAAACTATACTTGGACTTTTTTTTACATACTATATTATGACTTTTTTAACATACTATACTATGATTTTTTTAATAACATACTATACTGAGAGTTTTTTTAACATTCTATATTATGACTTTTTTTAATCATATTATACTATGACTTTTTTAACATACTATACTATGATTTTTTTAATAACATACTATACTGAGTTTTTTTAACATACTATGCTATGATTTTTTTAATCATACTATACTATGACTTTTTTTAATCATTATACTATGACTTTTTTAACATACTATATTATGACTTTTTTAAACATACTATACTATGATTTTTTTATAACATATTATACTGAGAGTTTTTTTTTTTAACATACTATATTATGACTTTTTTTAATCATATTATACTATGACTTTTTTAACATACTATACTATGATTTTTTTAATAACATACTATACTGAGTTTTTTTAACATACTATGCTATGATTTTTTTAATCATACTATACTATAACTGTTTTTATCATACTATACTATGACATTTTTTTAACATATTGACTTTTTTTAACATACTATATCATGACTTTTTTTAATCATACTATAGTATGACTTTCTTGATTTTTTTTTTTAACGTATACTATGATTTTTTTTTACCATACTATACTAAGTTTTTCTATCATACTATTGTGTGACCTTTCATCATACTATACTATGAGGTTTTTTTTATGACATTTAATGCTAGGATGTTTTTTTTAATCATATTATACTATGATTTATTTTTTATCATATTATACTGACTTTTTTTTAACATACTATACTATGATTTTTTTTTAACATACTATATTGAGTTTTTATGGCCTACTGTAGTATGATTTAAAAAAAAAAAAAAGCATACCATGATTTGTATATCATAATATAACTTTTTTTTAAAAATCTTTTATTGTTCACCTTATGCATTGTTTGTTTCTTTGTGATCTGTAATCAGCTGGTTTCTGTGTTCATTATCAGGAGGAGACACACTTCGCCTGGATCAGATCTTGGAGTGGTGGAGGGAGAAGAATGGCAGCTTCTGCTCGCGCCTCATCTTGGTGCTTGATTGTGACAACTCGTTGGCGTGGGTGAAGGAGGTGAAGAAGGTGGAGGGTCTGTACGTGGCTGTTCAGGGAGCAACACTTGTCCGAGTGACAGATGTTGAGCTGCAGGAAACCCCGCAACTCGGAGACTTCACTTCTCAGTGGGTGGAGTATAACTGCAACTCAAACAGCGACATCCGGTGGTCTGAGAGGGGCAGGGCGGTCTCTGCCACCTATGGCATCTCCAAACACTGGAGCGACTACACACTGCACCTGCCAACAGGAAGTGATGTTACCAACCACTGGAGCATATACTTCCCTCGAATGACCTACCCGGTGGTCCAGTTGGCGCTGTGGTGCAGCAGTCTCAACGAGCTGTCGCTCTGCAGCATCTGCCTGCGATGTCTGAAGCGAGTCAAACTAAACTGGTTTCCACCAGCGATACTTGACACTGGCCAAGGCTTCAAACTGGTTAGATCATAGAAAGAAAAAAAAAAACAAAAGCTATTTTTATTTTCAGATTATATTTCTTGGACCCTGAAAATAGGCAGCTATTGGATTGTTAACGTGCCGCTATCCTGTTTGTTACTGAAAAACTAATCAATGTAGTTACTGATTTGTGCATTTTGAAATGTCTTTTTAGAACCAGTTTTATATTCTTTGCAAGATTTTCTATTAATGTTTTTAGCTTTGATTAGAGATCTTAACATCCCTGTTGAACAGATGGATAAAATGTGACTGAGCACATCGACACTATTTTTGCACATTTTTGCATCGTAAATACCGTTAGATCTGATTCCACCTTGACTTTGAGAACATTCGTGTTGTGCCTTTTACCGTAAAGTCACCAAAGAACATCCAGCTCGCCTGGCTGATCTTCTTAACCTTTAACCAAAGTGGCCGTGGTACATTTTCAGAGGAAGATCTCAGGTGTACATCTTTTTTAAGAAGTCTAGAGCAGTTTCTAGAGTTGAAATTTTTATGTAGTTCTTGTAATTTGATTGTGAAATGATTCCTCTCCTCTTCTGTACTACACTATGCATTTTACGCTCCACATATATTCAATGCACTGCTTTGTTGTAACAGCATTTTGTAATGCTTTTGGGGGTCAGTTTTTTAACTACTCTCCAGCTGCTTCAGGGAGTCCAGGAAGTTTTTTTTTTTTACACAGAGATGTGTGCAAACTACAGTATTTATGTTATAATAAACCCCGGGAATTAAATGCATCACATGATGACAGACATTTTCTTTCTGGGGTTTATTGCAGTTTACTGGGCTATGCACGATTATTCAGGTGAAAGATGGGTACAACTATGCAATAAAGGAGAAGTGGGACTTCACTGCTCAAATCATGAATCGTCAGTGCTCCTCTTTTGGGTAAAAACTGCTATAATTAAATGTTTTTTTTTTTTCATGTGTCTGACACTGGGAGAGTAACAAAACTTAAAAAGTGAATAGTGTATTTGCCTAACACTTTTCTGATGTTTTCTAAAATCATACTGAAATGTTGTTTGACAGTACTTTCAAATTTAAACTCATACTTACCTCTTTGATTTGATAAAAACCAAGCGGACTAAATTCAGGTTTTCTGTTGATTTTATTGAAAACATTATAAAATTATGTGGTGCAGCAGCATATTTCAGTTTTTAAGATCTTTAACATGTTCACATTTACACAAACCAAGTTGAAAATGGCTTTTACAGCAAGTTGCGAATGATCGTTGTCCAGGAGACGACAACAACACAGGGCAGAGACAGTAACAGAACATCTACTGCCCCCATGTGGCTGCAAGTGAAACTACACTGAACCCTAAAACACACTAAAGGAAGAGGTCCTTTATCAGTGGGGAGGCCAGTTCCTGCTTAGTTCTAAAGCTCATTAATGAGTCCACTTCCTGAATTCAGTATTTTGTGGTTTCAGAGCTGATGTGCAAATTCATGACTTGGGTTGGTTTAAGTCGAACAGAAGCACTTTGACCGACCCAAGGCATGGACACAGGTACACAGTGAAACCCCAGCCCGTGTCTAAAAGGCTTCATTTACGAAAGGAGGGAAAGAAAGCAAATTTCCTGAACTTCTACCAAGTTCACAAGCAACTGAATTAGCACAGCACTGGATAACGCGTACAAACATTGATTTTAGGGTTTTAAATTTGAACAGTAATCTTTATATTCAAAGAAGAGGGTGAAATATTTTAACAGTTGCAGCCTGAATGAGCATGAGAATGACCTTTGCAACAAAAAAAAGAAGCAAACTTCAGTTTAGTGTTTGTGGCAAAAGAAACATGATGACTAACCCTCTCATTTGAACAGCAGATTCTACTGGATTACATTCACTAGAAAATTACTATAGTGTCATTAAACATCAGCCTAGTTTACAAGAGGGAAATTTGGAGCTAGATTCACAGATGTCATCTACTTAGTCTTCAACTATGCAGTATGTAGCCACCGGGACACGATGAATGACAAAAAATTTACAGCTGATTCTCTGACAGTCACAAGACCTGGACAGGACAAAGACTAAAGCTTTCGGAGAGACATTTTTTGGAAACAGAAGATCCAACCTGACTGGAAGCAACAGTGTTATTTTCAGTTTGAATCAGTTGGATTTAAGTGTAAAGCTTTTTTTTTTTTTTTAGCATTATTAAGTTAAGAATATTTAAATAAGGCTGCAACAACTACTAATTTATTATCGATTCATCTGTTGATTATTTTCTCGGCTACATGATCATTTTGTTTAAAGAAGGTCTGGAAAAAAAAGTGAAAAATAGCCACTATGAAGTCGTAGTTTCATCCAAAACCCAAAGATATTTAGTTAAGTACTACATGCCACCACAGAATGTTTGGTGTTTTTGCTTGGAAAAAAATAATCACTGAAACATGATCGATCATCAAAATAGCTTAGGAATAATTTTCAGTTGATTCATTTACATCACTACATTTAACAATTTTGTTTGTAACTTACAAGCGAAAAAGCAGCTAAGATGATTCCACATATTCAGAATGAGAGACAATTAGTGTTACAGAAACCGGAGAGTTGAGGTCCACAATTTTCCCATAAGTAAATTTGGTTTCGATGGTCTGACCTCCAGGTCTCAATTTCCATTAGTAACATAAAAATTGCCGACATTACTAATCCCAGTGGTTTTGGACTCTGCTTTAGTTGAAATGAAAAGGAATCTAAATGAGGTTTAACAGCTGTTTGAGCGGCTCAAGTGGGTCTGAGTGGTATTTATGGCTTTAGCAAGAATGACATCTAAGCTTTGGCTTGTTGCATGTGCAATGTGTCAACCCTGCAGAGCTGGAGACGGATGGTTCTCTGCCCAAACCAAACGCAACTGTGGCTCCGATCAAACAAAGCACCTTTTAGCAGCCTGGTTTTCAATGAGAGTGATTACTGCTTTTGCATTGCTGAGCACCTTGCATTTTCTTTACTCTATACAGCAGACATCTCAGGTACGACAAAAAAAGTTTCCCTATTGTCAAATTAAAATGAATTGATGTGGGCCTTTCATGGTGGCTATGACAAGAAGTAGCACCGTACATGGTTAGTGTGAAGCTACCGTAATGTCACTTTTATGTTGCCGTGGGCGGACTGAGACATATCTACTTTCTGACGTCTTACTAGCTGTAATTAGGCCTGACGATTAACAGCAGATTGTACCCTGGACTGTCCCCAACTCATCCTAAAATAAGCCTTAAACCAACCATCATCCAGGTAAAGCTCCTGGACCAGCTGGTGGTACTCCCTGTGATTTCTACTCTGTCTAAGGGTCTCTGATTCCCTGTGATCAACATACTGTACCATTTGGAAACAACCTCTCATCTTCAATCAGAGCAAGTGCTCTCTGGCTGTCAGATTGTAAAGGTACAGATTTGTGAGTACTTTACAACAAAATAGCGGTTAAGACAGGTGAAAAGACGCCACAAGCTGCAAAAAGCGCTCTGTCCGATCGGGGCAGGCTTCAACCAAGAAAAGGCATTGCAATGCACCTCGTGTTTCACGCTCTGTCTGACTGGGGCCTAAAACTTCATTTCTCCCACGTTAAGGCGGGTTTTGTTTCAGGTGATTCAGACACAGCAGAACGTGACATTTTAATAAAATTAAAGCGTTAAATAATAATTTAGAAAATACATTTGGCATAAAAGGAATCAGATATTAAATTCACCCTCTGATGTGACTGAATCCGCTGAGCCCAGCCTCATTTACAGTCCTGTTACAATGGAGGGACATCCTGATCTCTGCCATTCCTTACTGCACCGTGTGTGAGCCGACATGTCTCCATGAGAAGGGAGCACGTCTTCCTGTCAGTGTGATTGTCATGGATGTGTTCGTCATAGTGCTGCAGATTCCTCATTTTTACAAAAAGGAACTGGAGTACAATCTAGTGTTCAGAATCCATTTACCCTAAAGAAACAACAGCAGTGACAAAACATCTACAAAAAAAACACCCAAACTCTACCCCATATATTTCTGTATAATCAGCAGTTAAATAACTAGAGTATGGTACATCATGATTTTCTTTCTTTCTTTCTTTTTTTTTTTTTTTTTAAACAAACTTGTCGTTTGTCTGAGAGGAGCGAAAGGCTTCAGCCAGTTCCTCCTCTCTCTGTCAGACTGAGCGAGGATCCCCAGTAGTTACAAGGACCCGAGGTTCAGCGCTTCTAGGAATCAGAACCCTGAACTGTAAATTAAAAGCTCACGTTGTCTCCCATGTGTACATCATGTGTCTGGAGCTTGCAACCAACCCTTAGAAAAAAAAAAGAGTACTCTTAACTTTCAAAGATGTGTGGGAATACGATAGACAAAAAGTAGAATATTAATTGAACATAATAGAAATGTGTCGTCATTAACCAAGCTCCATTTTAACTGCTGCTTGGTGATATCGTGGCCCAAACCCCAGGGTGATACTGAACATCAGTCACCTATTGAAACGTGTCACTGCTCCCAATACTCCTTTTCCTCACCTGCACTGATGCGACTGCACAGAATAAAGCGTATTTACAGAGGCGGGCATTTTTCCGCAATCTTGTTTTCAAAGACAAAATGTGCAGCTGAGAAAACGGAGAACTGCTGTCGATTATTGGTCACGTGTCTGTCTGCTTCCCTGATCGCCTTTATCCCCCCTTCCACTCTGTTTCCCCTCATCACCCAACTTCCAAACTAATGTATAAATAACACAAAAAATGTATCTTGTCCTGTGTATAATTCCCCAAATGCTTTTAAAAAATAGAATGAGGTAAATCCCTGTAGTAAGACAATAACTAGGCAATGCACCGAATGAAAATTGCCCCTTCCACCCTCTCGCCTCTGTTGAATGACTACTTGGTTCATGTAGGCACAAAAAAAGTCTACACAGCACGTACATGTGTCCATCGGTTTGCCTCTACGTGTGTCTTTGTGTCACGACTCTCCTTCAGTCTTTTCATTTCGCGCCATCAAACCTCGTCCTGTTGCTGCTGACAGACCGGTTACGACTCGTGCTCTCCCGTCTCAGGACTTCCTGTGCCGCACCATCTCGGAGCTGCCGTTCAGTTTGCTCCGCCCGGACGGGGTGGCTGTGCTGCCGTTGCCCAGAGGACGGTCCCGGTCCATGGGGACTTCCTGTTTGCGTCGACGGGTCTCTTTGTAACGGAGTGTGATGTCACTGTGAGAAAAGAGAGGACACAGTTAACAGAGCCTCAGGAACAGTTCCTCATGGCTAGATTCTGTTCCACCAGCTTTATTGCTCAATGCGCTTCCTCATGGAAAACACATTGAGCAATTAAAATCAAACAGACGTGTTCCTGAGGTCTTCTATCCATTTTTCAGCAAAATACTTGTCATTTTTAAACCTCAACACAACAAAGATAAAAAGGAAACACTTAAATTTAGAGTATCTGAAAGTAAGGAAGCTGATTTAAGACTGTTGTAGAGTTTTCAGACTCTACAACAACCATTTTATTTGTTGAGACAACAAACGTGATGCTGCTGACACCTTAACTTTCTAAAGATAAGCTACGTCACTTTCTCTCTCAACCATGATATGCATCGTCATGGAGAAAAGCAAGAAGTCCAAAGAGGTTGGCACTCCCCCTCTATCGTCATGGAGATGCTAAATTGCAAGAATCAAACACCAGTGCCAAGTTCTTCGAGGGATAATTAATAAGAAAACTTTGGTTTACTCAAGAGCATAATACTCTATGAGCTGTGAATAACTGATTCAAGTGTCTAAAGGTGTGTGTCCACATTATGATTTTCTTTGGCAGAAAGGTGGTGGCAGGGCAGCAAGGAGCACTTTGTCCAAGCGACTCGTGGCTTTTGTTTCTGTGACAACATCTGCTAGGTGGCTAACATAATGCTATGTTAACACAGGGCTGACTACACAGTTAACAAGCTTACAACACAGGGGAGATGGTAAATGGACCTGCACTTGTATAGCACCTTTCTAGTCATCTGACCATTCAAAGCGCTTTTTTCACTACAAGTCACATTCACTCTTTCACACACACATTCATACACTGGTGGCCGAGGCTACCATACAAGGTGGCAGTTCTTAACACACTCACACACTGATGGAACAGCCATTGGGAGCGATTTGGGATGAGATACTTCGACATGCAGATTTGAGGAACCGAGGATCGAACAGCTGATCTTACGATTAGTGGACGACCTACTCTACCTTCTGTGGTGATAAAGGTTCAACACTCACCAGCAACACTTCCTTCCCATAAATAGACTTTTCTGTCTGTTTCTGAGTGACAAATCACATAGCTCGGAATAGACAGTATCTCAAGGAGCAGCTGTGACAACATCACTGCCTTCTGACAAACAGTTCAGCCAAAATTGCTCGGAGCCGTCCACTACGTGAACGTAGGTCTTAATCTGGCTACCTCTTATGCATATGCCATTACTGGTTATATACCATCGATGTATTCCCAATCAAGATGAGGGTCAGTCTGACAACAATCAGTGACACTGACAGTGGAGAGATAATCATCAAATTTCTTGATGACCCACTTAAAGGATAGCTTAGGTATTTTTCAACCTGGGCCCTATTTCCCCATGTGTATGTGTGCGTATCATTCATAGCTACAACTTGTTCTAAAATTGGTTCAGTATTGAGGGAGGTGGATGCAGCCGGCAGCCGCGAAACGAGCTAAAACGGTAACGGGGGCAAATGCGTCCCATATAAGTTTGCGCATTAAAAGTGCTTTTTTTCGCCACTGACCGGTTCAGATCACCAGTGTTATCTCTGTAGATAGCATACTAAGCGTTTCCCTTACCTCTGGGCTGTGTGACGTCATCTCGCGAGAGCTTTGCTCCACTGTGTCTGTAGCTCTCTCTACTCGTGGGACAGCCGTTTTCTTGAGGAAGAGGTGTTTGAGGATTGGATGTCTTCTCTACTTCAGCTGGCAGTAGTCATCTTGGGAGAAGTGAGCACTGCAGACCCGATGGTCTGCAAGGCGCGGTGTCTGGACAGGAGTGTTAGCATCCATTTGTAGCACAACTAGCCACAACTTCAGCATCTCGCCGTCCGACAAAGGCAGCCTATGAAAGCTGTACGGGGTGTTGCGCGACATCCTGTTCTTACAATTCGGATAAGCACAAACACGAACCATTGCTTTCAATCGATGCAGTAAAACACTCAACTGTACTCCGGGACAACCAGCGCCACTCTGAGCGGCGCTCAGCATGGCTACTCTGTTTTCTTCCGGCAACAAGCAAAGCTCTCGCGAGATGACGTCACAGCCCAGAGGTAAGGGAAACGCTTAGTATGCTATTTACAGAGATAGCGTCTGAACCGGTGAGAGGCAAAAAAAAGTACTTTTAATGCGCAAACTTATACAGGACGCATTTGCCCCCGTTACCGTTTTAGCTCATTTCGCGGCTCCCGGCTGCATCCGCCTCCCTCAATACTGAACCAATTTTAGAACGAGTTGTACCTATGTATCATACACACACATACACATGGGGAAATAGGGCCCAGATTGAAAAATACCGAAGTTATCCTTTAATGGTGGAGCACCAAACCTCTTCACATCCCCACAATACTCACCTTTGTCTGCTGATGCTGTGTATCAGATGATGGAGACGGATGTGACACACCTGAACCTGAACAACTGGGTCAAATTGTGTTTGCAGATAATTCTTTGAGCCTGTTTATACCTGGTAATGACATGGGTCTTTGGTGATCCCATCACAAGTGGAAATAAAAGCGTAAACCACCAAGAAGCACTGTGGTGGTCTGGGACACATTTGACCAGACCTTTTATAGTGTACACTCTACGCTGATGCATCCTGACTCGTTCCCCGACAAGCACGTAACAGAAAAATAAGCCATCAATGTAGGATGTGCAGGATGTAATGGTCGGTCTTTAACTTGCCCATTTTAAGATGAGTTAGACGAAGAATTGTCTGATCGGCCATCGTTTTTTTGCCCTATGGAAGGAGATGTGTTGAATTCTGCTGACAATGGTATCTCCAGCTGCACCAACACAACCGCTAACGTGACTGGCGAACATGCTAGTGTGGACACAATAACTGTGCGCAGGGCCCTTTGACTTTTTAGGGCAATTTACATATAAGCAATAAATTCTGAATACAGGTGGTGAGCCTCAGACATATTATAGACACAGGTGTGAAAGGTTATGTGTCTCAGCTCTCCACTTGTGTTCAGATCACAAAGACAGATGTTGATACCAGGTGTAGACAGGCTCTTAGCTCAGTGGGACTAACAGTAACAGGAGGTACATGCGCACCTTCTCCCACCCTAACAACACAATAATGGTCACAATGCTTTTCTTTAGGGGTAAAGCCGACTTATTTGTAACCAGAGAAATCTAAATGCATTATAACCATTTGCAAATACGATTCCACCCAGCGTGTTTTACTATTAAACGGCATGCTGTAGTGTCTGGTGTCGTTGATGCACTGTGCTGTATGACTGGACGACGTGCACCATGAGGGCTGATCTGACTGGCTCTCATCAGGTGAAGGGCAGTCCAGCTGGAGTAGCCGGCATGCTGACGACCACATAATGTGTGTGTGAAGTGTGCCAACACTTTATTTTGGTTTCATTCAGTGACCCCCTTTGTCTCCTGTCTATCAATTCTACAATGTCAGCATGCTGGCTGACATCTGTGTTACTTATCTGACTCACTGCATCTAAGAATAGAAATGATGTGAAAGGAAATGGTAAAAATAAAGACTAAAGAAAAATTTAAAGTGCCATGCAGGAGACGGACCCATGTGGAGTAACATCTGTGTTGTCTAGAGAATCCCAAAGATCTTCTGAGTATAAGTATGGATCCAAACAGTGACGTCTCAGAGGGGAAATAAAACAAAATACAAAACTGCTGACAGGAGGAAACGCCTCTCTCCTATACCTACCTCACTGGACATGGACATTACTGCTGAGCATGGGCAGGAAGGAGTTGGGTGGGAGAAAGGAAGGGAGGGAGGATGGGGAAGGACAAAGTAGACAAAAAGCTTAACATGCTGGAGCATGGCTGCGCTTCACAGGAGCACTACTCAACAGAAGGTGAATCAAACCAAAAGCAACCT